TGTAAATAGGGAAGTGTGGAGGGGGTGGAGGGAGGGCAGGGTACAGGGAAAAATAAGAACCAAGATACGTCATGTAAAGGTACCAGATCTCAGTGACGGATGTAACTGTACCGTACACCTAAAATACCTTAAATAAGTTTATACTAATAAACTTAATGGGGCGGGGGGACTCTGCTGATTAAAAACAAAAACAAAAAACACCACTGCAGGAGACAGTCTTGGAGCTCTCCCTCGTAAGAGCAATTGACTGATCCTTGTGGTAGTATGGCCATGGCAGGATTAGAAGGGGGCAGAAAGAATCTAAATAGTATGGCAAAAATGCCTTTTTTGTTGTTGCTGCTGGTACTGGAGACTGAAAACACGATCTGTGCACTAAGCTACACTTCCAGCCTTTTATTTTAAGACAGGCTCTCACTAAGTAAGTTGCCCAGGCTGGGCTTAAACTTGCAGTCCTCCCGCCTTAGCCTTCCAGAGTGCTGGGATTAAACTTTCTTAAAGAAGAGGCCAAAGCCCAATCGAATATTCACAAGATGTTAGTTGAGAGATGGCTGCACAGTCCTTCCGATGAGACCTTGACCCATCCTGTCCTGGCCCCGGCGGAACTGCAGAGCTCCCAGTCAGAGCTGAGGGTGTGGGGTGGGAAAGTGCAGAGGTTACCGGAGACAGAGCCGATGTTAAGCCCTGCCTCTGCCAAACACCTTATCTTCCTGAGCCTTCCTTTCCCAAAATTGATCCCCGTTATTTTGGATGAACCAGGCAACAGATGCAGGAGAGACTGGCTGAGTCACAGTGACATCCAATCTGTCCCATCAAAGCCACGAGAGCCAGAAGACAAAGGGAGCAGGGGACTCACAGGTCTCGGTACTGGTCAAAGGCATTGTTGGCTTCCACCTCCAGCTTTCTCAGCCGAGCAGACGGCATGGCCCCGTCTTCCAAAGGGGGGTCATACTTGTTACTCCACGGTGACCTGGGGGGAAGGAAGGAAGGAGAGGTCACATGAGTCACTCCAGGGAGATGTGGCTTCAAGCAGTCAGCCTGAGCCCAGCTGCCTGAAAGTTTAAAGGCAAAGTTACTGCCCGCAGCCCAGATGTTACAGGCCCTGGAAACCAAGAGGGCTTTCTGGAGTTTTTCAGAGCAAGGGCTCAGAAGAAGGAAGACCAGGGATGCACCCAGTGGCCTCTCTCACCAGCTGTGTGACACGAAGCTAACAGGAGGGCTGCTATGAGCAGCCAAGAGAAACGATGCCTAGTGCCAGGGCCACAGCTTGGCACACAGCAAGTGTTCACTAAACTTCCCTTCCCACTTTCTTAGCTACCCTGTGTCCACCGCTGTAGCAATCAGCGGATGTCCCTCTCTCCTCCTGAGTTACTGGCAGTTCCAGGTAACTGTTCCCAAGACCTTCTCACACAGGAAGGTCTAAGAGGAGAGTTATTACAGAAGCAGGCAAGAGACCCAGGTCCAGGCACAACTGCTTTGACATACGAACAACTTGGGTTATGACTGGCAATTTAGTTTTAACTTACAAAGTCTTGAGTTACAACCCAAATGTCAGCCATTGGTGGTCCCACACGGTCTCAGACACAGATTTAACCCCTTACAGAGTTCCGGAAAGAGCCTTAGAACATCCTTTCCTGTGTGGGGTTCACTGAGAAATCCCGGGCCGATGCCTCTCTAAGGACACTGAGATCTGCCTGGATACAGACAGAAGTGCACCCCCAGTTGCCCCAAGAGCAGCATTAGCTCCTGGTCTCCCTGCACACACGCATGCTCGCACGCGCACACACACACACCCTACAAGCTGGCGTGGAGAGCATGTCGGGGTAGGGGCAGGCGTGCTGCTTCTCATCCCTGAACCTACCTTGTTCACCTTGGATGAACGGTCTGAGAGGATGGAAATGCTCTGCACCTGCCCTGGCCAGCAAGGCAGCCATGAGCAACCTGTGGCTTCAGAACGCTTGAGATGCAGCTGGTGTGCCCATGGGGCTATAGTTTAATCTTATTTAATTTGAATGAACTTAAATCTAGATAGCCAATTCTAGAACTTCAGCTCAGAAAGGGATGTGGCTTTTCTGCCTTGCTCTCCACTGGTTTCTTAGCCCCGGAACAGTGCCTGACACTCCAGAGTTTGTTCATTGAAAAATAAACTGCTAAAAGAATAAATTCTTGTACTTCCCCTAGAAAGGCAGAAGTGACCACTCCCTCTTCCCTGCCCCTCCCAAACATCCAGATGTGATTCTCACACTTCCCTTGCTCTGCCCAAGCCTGAAAGTCTTTGGGAAGAGGGCCTGTGCTGGCTGCTGTGTAAGGACACTGGGACCATAGGCAAGGGAGGGAGAGACACATGGCAAGTTCTGCAGGTGGTCGGTCCTCCAGGCCACAGAGATGAAGCAACTTTCTGTTCTTTCTGCTCAGGGAGATCCAAGCTCAAAGAAACAAAACTGATCTGGCTATAGCAGCTTGCACCTGTCCTCCTAATTACCCAGGATGCTGAAGATCACCTGAGCCTAGGAGTGATAGCCCAGTGGGGCAACATGGCAAGACACTGTCTACAAAACAAATAAACAAACAAACCTCAAGGACTTGCACTGGATTTCAAAGACAAGAAAGCTGCTGACGGAATGCCACTGCCACTGCCATGACCATTTACTTATGGAGGAGATGTGGTCTCTACTGGTGGTGGTGTGTGAACTTAACTTCTGCCTCCCCACATGTTGCCTCGTGACTCCCCCTCAGCACACCCACGAGCCAGACACTTCCACTCCCCTGCCCCCCAACTGGCTCTCATTTAAGGCAACCTGAGGAGACACAAGAGCCCATCCTCTTGCAGGCTGGGGGCTGGAACTTTCAAGCAGCCTGTAACTCACGTTGCTCCTGGCTCACAGACGACAGCATTTCAAGCCGTTAGGCCTGGAGCCGGGGTAATTGTAGCTGGGGGAAAAAATCATAACATTACGCAGAATATTCTTAGTGGAAGGGGCATTCAGAACACATTTAAGAGCTTAAATGGAGGCCATCTGAGAAAAGACAGATGGACAGGAACGCTTAGATTTCAAAAGTCAGGCCTTTCCTTTTCCCCTGAGAAAGCTTTTTGTTTCAGCTAACAGGTTTCAAACAGCGCTGCTGGCAGCGATCACACCATAAGGATCTGATTTAAGTAAACGATCAAACATAGGACAGAAATGTGTGCGGAAAGTCAGAAGACCTTGAAGTTTCCTATCGAGGAGAGAGAAGAAAAACTCGGGTCTGTCTTAACACAAGTGCTCTCAGATCCCCAGAGCCCTTTCGGACCACTGGAGAGCAGCCAGGTCTACAGGGCACCCTGGAAGGCCGCAGGTCAGGGGAGCACAGCCTGGGCATGGACCCGATCCCTTCTTTCCACTGGCTCTCCTCGAAAGGATGCCTTAGAAAGCTGCCTTACCTGAAGTTTTCTAGTGAAAAAAAAGAACAAAAATGCTGATACCACCTCTCCCAAGAAGCCTTCTCTGAGCCTGAGCCACAGGTCTGCCAAGGGCGCTTCCTGTGGCCATGTGTGACCCCGGGCTGTCAGACCACTTAGCACCTTCACCGGCCTTTTCTCTCCAAGAGCTGTCCTGCCCACTTCCCACGAGGCTCACAGGAGGACAAAGCCTGGACACCATGCTGTGAATGCTGCCTGACTTCAGGGCTACACCACCAGCTCTCTGTGATTAATCTCCAGCCCGGCCCTCTCTGAGGGAGGCCTAGATTGTGGGTGCATACCCACATGGCACCCCCTTAGGGATAACAGGCATCTCAAGCTTAACACATCCCAAAGCAGGTCCTTCCTGAGTCTTCCTCCCTGCTGCCAGCACTGACCCACCTTCCAGCTGCCAGGCCTTCACCGTCTCGCCCACACTGTGCCCATCTGCACTGCAACCCGCATCCTACTCAATCACACCTCTGCTCCCCATCTCTACTGCAGCCCTGCCTAGATTACGCCATCCGTGTTCTCTATCCAACGTCAGCGTGAAGTCGGGAGGGAAAATGATCATAAAACACTGGTCTAGTCTCTTATAGAAAGTTAGCGTAAACTAAGCCATTCAAATATACAAGTTCTGTGCTATTGAGCACGACACGTATTGCTTCTTTTACTCTTCCCACAAGCATCGGCCTGGCCTTCAAGGGCCTGTGTGCCCTCCCTGCCATGCCTCTGATCTCCTCTCCCACCCTCATGCCTTCTCCGCTCTGGCCTTCATGGCTCAGGGCCAGAAAGCTTATCTCCACCCGGGACCTTGACACACAGAAAGCTCTTCTCTCAGACCTGTGTCCCTGAAGGTTTCATCCTGACGTACACTTAGCGGGAGAGCCTGCCTGTGTGCCCACCCTGTCTCTGCCTGTATCCTGTGTTTTCTCTAGCAATCCTTTCACAACCTGTATTACTTATGCATGTGCTTACTGTCTGTGTGGCTTCCTCACAGGGCTGCAGGCGCCTTAAAAGAGAGCCTCAGAACAGTGCCCAGTGTGCCAAGCATGCTTACACAAAGATGCTACAGACCAGAGATAACAACTGACCGTCAAAGTCCCAGTGCTAGTCTGGAGCCCACACTGGCTTCAAGTAATTCCTTCCTCCTGCTTCTGCTGTCCAGACACCCAGTGCCCTGTCCAGTGAGACCATCAGGCTGCAGCTTCAGGCCTGAGCCCAGGTGATGTGTCCCCTATGACACCTAAATCACACTGAAACTCCTCCATTCTCCAAGGCAGTGAGTCCATCACGGAAAGAATCCCACTCTTGGGAATAATCTCCTCCCACCTTTAAAAACCTGCCTCAGATATTACTTCCTTCAGGAGGTCCTCGTCTATTCAACCCCACACCCTGGACAGGCTCTGCACTGGCTGCACAGATCACGTGACCATTAGGTGATGACATGTATCTCCCACGCAAGGACCAATGTCAGGCTGTTTACAGCCCTCACCACGGTGATGGACAGAGAGGGGAGAGGTACACATCTGATGGAGCCGATCAGGCATCCCTTAACCACAGACACCCCATCCTCGGGACCTCCATCACCTGTAACCCTGGATGCTGCCCCTTGCAGGACTAGTGCGATTACAACACAGCAGCTGTTTTGGTGATCTTCCTCTCACATAGGCGGTAAGATGCATGAGGGTTCTACCTCCAAAGCTTACGACAGGTGCTCCACAAACACCTGCTGGTGGATGGGATGAACAGCTGGAGGGAGGAGGGGAAGAGGTGGAAGAGGGAAAGAAGAGGACAGAAGGACAAATGGGAAACAGGTGGGTGGGCTGCTGGCCTGTCACAGTCCAGAGGTCCGTGTGCTGCTGAAAGGGCAGAATGGCCGATACCATGGCCCTTCTGGTATGAGCTCACCTGTAAGAGTCCCCATCTCTGTTGTAGTCACACAAAAGGTAATCCTTGCCCACCATTTTGTCTCTGGCAATTTTCAGTGGCTGGTCAACAGAAGACAGGAGATCTTCACACAAACTGGGGACCTGGCAGAAAGAAAAGGAGCAGGTAGAAACAGTGTTTAAAATAGCTCCCTGAATTGAGGTCCACGAATGATTACTGTAGCCATCTTGTGGTCAGTATATTAACATCTGGCCCTTGGTGTCCTGCCAAAATTACAGGCCTGTTCTTTTCTTTTCCACATGTGCCTGACACCAACTGTGTCCCTCTATGAAGAAACCTGTTCTTGAATTACAGTGGAGCGTGATTTCCAATATACTCTCCATTCCAAAACCTATGTGCAGCTCTAATTACCTGATCGCCAGGGTGGTCTAGCAAATAGAAGTATGTATGTGCTCGCTATTGGTCTCTGGGGTGTGGGCAAAGGACAAGTTGAAGCCCTGAAGAAGGTAAACATTTCAAATACACAGGAATCCAAAGAACTCAGAGAATAACCCATCCGTGCTGGGAACTCCCACAGGCTCCCATGCTGGGTGGAGTTTCCAACACTTTCCAGGCCCCTGGCCAAGCATGACTAGGTTGGCTCGTACCATCAGTACTATCTTCCGTGGAGATAGCTTCGTATCGCTTTTCCCCAGCACAGCCCAGCCTGGGCAGCCTCCCTGAGGAAGACAGGCAGGACTGGACCCCAGGGCAAATGCCGCTGATTGTGACCAGGTCCCTGCTGCTGAGCAGCCCGCTGGGTGCCTCCCTCCAACTCAAACACGACTTTCCACCAAAAACTTCCAGGAAGGGATGGCAGTACTGTCAGAAACGGATTCCTCAGGTCGGAGTCACTTCCCTTCTGTATTCCATGTGCTGACTTGTTTCGTGGTCTGGGTTCTAGGGGGCCCCACCACATCTTTTACCAGGCAGGTGGCGGCCAACTGCACCAATAACCCTTCCCAGGAGAGACATGAAACTGTAAGGCAAAGACAACCGCCAGAGGGGCCGCGTTCCTCCGAAGTCCCTGACCAGCGCCTGAAGACAGGAACAGACAGCACGCCTCCAGACTGTGAGCCAGGCATCTCGAGCACCCAGCCCCTCCCTCACCCCCATGCTTTAGTACTCAGCTTAGAAGGCACCACGAAGCACGGTTGGGAGGAGGAAGCCCTGTTTGCAGCAACACAGAAACTTTGGCCTTGGTGAGGCGGCCTGTCTCTTGCACACAGAGCAGCCTCCAAGGAGATGCACACACCATTAAGCCCAGGCAGGACCTTCTCCACATGTATTGGCCCTCTCCTCAGCAAACAAATAAACAGGGGCTGATTTTCAAAGTGACCCACTACCGCTCCCAAGAGCCTGCCGTGGATCATGCGCTGGGCTAGGGGCTCTGTAGACAGCACGCTGTTAACCTGAAAGTCCACAGGCCTGCTGTAAAGTAGGTATGGATTGTGCCCATTTTACAGATTAGATGGTTGGGGCCAGAATCATTAAGTTGCCCAAAGGCCATATGAACAGTGGGGACAGAGATCAAAGCTAGGATGGGCTAAAAGCCTCCAAAGCCCCAGGTCTTCTCCACTCTTAACTGTATCTGACTTCTAAAGGGAAATAGCGAAGAGTCCCTCCTGCCCCACTGCTGCTCAGTCACGGTCACAGAGCCCTTCATCAGGGGAGTCCTGCCTGAGGAAAGGAGAGTCTAACAGCCTCCACCTAGGCAGCTGGGTCAGGGTGGTTCAACTGTGATGTCACGGACCCAGAGAAATGACCCTGAGCACCTCTGCGCCCGCCTATCTCTGAGGAACTCCACTTATGTCGTCCTTTCTACCCGAGTGAGCCCCTTCAACCAGACTTCCTGATTCCACTATCTGAGAGCTTCTAGTTTTGGGCAAGTCAAGTACTTACTTTTCTACTAAGACCTGGCTTCCTCACCTGCCAAGGGGCCTAATAAAAATCCAGAGGTTAATGTGAGGTTCAAATGAGAGAATGCATTCCACCTTCAGAAGTGTGGCCCACGCAGGCTTGGTCATCTCCTGGTCTCCCGTTCTGGATCTGACTCTTTCTGTTACTCTCAGATGGCAACTATTAGACCTCCTCACACTTCAATTCACCAGCTGCTTCAGGCACTGGATACAAATGGACCTAGTTCTGTCCAAGGCCAGCCAAGCTGGCAAGAAAATGGGATCTGATAAGTAAGACTCCAAATTTACTCTTACCCAAGAGGTTAATCCATGGATAAAGAATGTTTCCATCATTTCTCCCTAGTATTTATATAAAAACTATTTGTTCACTGACCGGTTATGGGAGAAAGGAAGGTGAGAGGCAGAGAGGAAGAAAGGACCTTGTGCCACATAAAACCTCCCAAACCCCAACTGGCTTGATTGGGGTGTGTGGGGGGTGTTACTGGGGATTGAACATAGGGTCTTCGCACAGAGCTGCATTCCCCAGCCCTATTTGTTTTTGAGACAGAGTCTTACTAAGTCACTAAGTGGCTCAAGCTGGGCTCCTCCTGCCTCGGTCTCCCAGAGTGATGGGGTTACAGGCGTGCACCGCTATGTCTAGCTCGGCTTTATCTTTATATTAACAAATCAATGTACAACAAGAATCTTTACTAAAAGAGTCTGTTGTCAAGAACCAAATTCTGATGGACACCAATGACCAATTCCAGTTGGGCCTCCAACTCGGCATTCTCAAATACAAACCCTGATGTGGTGGGAAAGCACCAGAGAGATCTGGAGCTGTCATCGAAGCAGTGCGCGCGCGCGCGCGTGTGTGTCAGCTTAGCTGTGGCTTTTAAAACACACAGTTGGAGAAGCCACAGTTGGTAGAAGGACTGAGAACTGCAGACCTAGGCCCTGGCTTCTGCTCTGCTTATGAACATGGAAGCACAGCAGGTGAAGCACAGCAGAGATAAACCACCCTTAAAGATCTGAGCCTGGACTTTTGAAAGCCTCAGCCAGCCTGGCCAGTCTCTGCAAAGCATACGTTTAAAGTGAATCCCCCAGATTGTAGTAGCGTGCAGAGAAAGGCCAGGGAGCTCATGAACTGCGTGAGATCTGGCCCTCTATGAAAAGCATCTGGGATGGTATATGGCCTACTGGTTCTCCATCTACAAGGTATAACTTTGGATTTAAACATAAACTCTGCCACCAGCCTAGTTTCTTTCTTTCTTTTTTGTTTGTTTGTTTGTTTTTGGTACTGGGGATCACCGAATTCAGGACCTTGCACTCAAGGCAGGCAGCAGAACCACTGAGCTAAATCCCTGGCTCAGCCTTATTTCTTTTGATCAAAGATAATGTGCTGGGCTGGGCATGGTGGCACACGCCTGTAATCCCAGCACTCCAGAGGCTGAGGCAGGAGGATCGCTGTGAGTTCAAGACCAGCCTGGGCTACATAGTGAGTTCCAGGTCAGTCTCAACTATGTAATGAGACCCTGTC